CTGAAAATACAAACAAACTTCTCCGCACCTCCCGTCACGGCTTTCCCGGCACTGCGGCTGCGGTGGCTCCGGCTCCGAGGAAAGCCCTAAGTTTTCCTACCCCTATTTAGGCGCATTAGTGCACCGCTTTAATTTACTGCAAGAATAGGAAAACTGCCCAAAGCTCTGTGGATGAGTGGGGAAGGGAGCGATTTCTGACAGAAAACTCCAAAAACTCAGAGCAGGATAATGAGAAGTAAGTGAAGACCTTTAAATCCACTTTTCCTCCCATGCCTCCATTGTGAAAAACGCCCATCACTTTAAAAAAATAAAGTTTAATAGTAATAAAATTGTCATAAAAATAGTAATATAATTAGAGTAATAAAAATTTGAACAATTAAAGTAGGACAATATGAGACAATAAGAAGTAAGTTACAGAGGACGGGGTACCTTTTCTGGGCAAAATAAGCCCGAAAAAGGACACCTGTTAACAGAGGATTAACCCTTAAAAGCAATAGCCTGTTGCATATTCATACACTTCATGCATGATGCATAAATTCCATTCAAACAACGGATTCTGTCTGGTCAGTGTCAACTTCTTCCTCCTAATCCTTAACGGCGTCTTCATGGCTGAGCAAGGCGGGAAGAAGTTCGTTTCTTCTGATAACAGAGCAGTAAATTCTCTTTCTCTGAAAGATTTAGGTGTCCTGTGGCTGCTATCTTGTGAAAGTACCTCATTCCTTTCTTAAAAAAGCATCCCACATACATAGTTCCTGTTTTAACTAGAAAACTACATTTACCATACTGTTAAAATGTTGATACTGCCCTACTAATCACTACAAGAAAATACATATAGTATTTTATATCTGCATAGAGACATATGATATGCACTTTTCACACTGCCAAGGTAAAGGGATTCCTTTAATCTGTCTAACCACAAATAAAATAAATAAAAAGGCTGTCCCTGTTACAGCAAAAAATCTGGTATGCCCACAAACACCACAAATGGGGGCGGGGGGGGGGGATTTCCTGGAATTCTTTTAATTTGCTTTAATGCACATAAATCACGACACTAGTTTTTCCACATAAAATGCTGCACTTGTTGCAAACAAAATCTTAAAATCTCACATACAGAATTATACAGTCCCAAGAATCAAATTACCACAATGCAGGGGAAAAACCCACACAGCTCTCCTGTACCTCAAGTCTTGGGAATCAACTTATAACAAGTTGTCTCTATTTCAGCTCTGACAGCCCACAAACACCAGTTACAGTTAAAACCCTATAAAAGGATGGCTTAACCCTTTTGACTCAGGCTCAAGCTTAATACGCAGCTTAACACAGATGACACAAAACAAAAATTACCAGTTTGTTACAATTGTAACTTTTACACAATAGTCAGCAAAATCTCACACTACACCAGATGAATCCAAAGTTGCATCTTTGCAAACTCCACAAGGAGAGGGACCACAAAGGCATTGTGCTACAGCGTTTGATCCTCGCCTCCCAGGTCCCACAGGCAAAGGATTGGTTAACACTGAACACAAAGCCTTACAAAAGACTGGTTATACTCAAACACCAGGTGTCACAGCGAATGCTGCTCCCCAAAACTAGAAAGTTCACACACACAAACTCACTGTGAAAGGGGTATTTCTTTCCACACACACCAACTCAGTTATAACAACCTTAGACCAGCATTTGCCCTTACGACTGCTAGCCCCAGTTGGTGGCAAACTGAGCTCTCTATGCTGAAACAAATGGCAGCACCAAAAGCCCGAGCTCAGTACAACAGTTCAACAACTCTTTCTGCTGGCAACCAGATTTCAACTGCAACTTCAGCTTGCAAGCACACTACAGAGGCACAAATTGCACGTGGGACATCTCCCACGACTTACCAAAGGGCCTCTCCTGACCACGCCTTACCGGTCACTGTTTAAAACTGTTTTATTTTTAAACATACCATTTTGTCTGGAGTTTTAGTACTCAGGGCTCCTTGTCTGCTGCTGGATGAACAGTCTGTGCAGCAGAGCCCACTCTTCCAGGAATAACCTGGGGGTGCTGTTGCAGAATGCGGCCTTTGTCGGGGATGAGCCATTTGTCAGGTGCAGGGAAAACTCGGGGCTCAATATGAGTCAACAGCAAGTTCCATTTATTGAAGAGAGCATCAGACACTTATACAGCAAGTAATAAGCTTATGAATATTCTGTAAGCCAAGCGAACTATTGGTTAAACTATACCATCAACTCTTCCTCATTCCTTTGGGCCTACATTCTCTATTTCCCACGTCTCTCTGTCCACTCGTTATCATACCCAGCTAGGCCCAAGGACACGCTATCTTGCAGGTGCAAAAACTCCAACTAGCTGTGTTTGGTACTTTCCCAGCTCCTGGTCGGCTAACAAGCGAATGTCTATGTGACCTCTGTCATGTAGCCATTTCTCCACAGGTTGCACCAAGGGGGTCCATGACCTGAGCTGGTCTCACAGCCCAGCAGAGTCTCCTTCTGGCTGGCTTGCTAACTGAATCATTAAAACTGAAGATCATGGACAAAGACTCTGTAACTAGTCAAAAGTTAGAAAGTTGTATGTTTATTATACCGGTGGGCAGCACGGGGGAATCATTCTCAAAATGCGTGACCGCACCACACAAGGATTTTTGCCTTCTATTTATTTGCCAAAATAATACATATACATAACCCCAGCACCTCCCATCCCCGCGTTGTATTAAAATGAGGTTATTAGTCCTTCACGCGTGTGCAATTCTTCTCTTGAATTGGGTCAGTGGTCCCAAATTGGGTCAGTGGTCCCAGGGATGAAGTCAGGAAGGTCTTGGTCAGGTCTCTGTGACCCTCTGGCACAATCCAAGGCCCCCTGCTTTGTGATGGATTGACACAGAGTCCAGGTGCTGGGCATTGTTCTGCTGGTTTCAATATGTTCCTAACTTCTTTCTACAAATGAGCTCATAATATAACAATTAACTTTAGCTTAAGCATCCAATAATCATTAACCTAACATTGGTGTATCTAACTTCAATATGAATTGGTTCTAACACTCAGCTAAAATCCTAACCCTTTAAAATCATGATTCAATAGGACTTAGCAAAACATAAGATGTGAAAAAAGGCTTTTGTGTAACTAAAAACAGTGTAAGGCCATCCACTGACCAGCCTGTCCAAGTAATAAGATAACCGTGACACAAAGCAGAGCACCAGAGGACAATTAGACAATACCATGTTAAAATTAGGGAGGCCATACTGAATCCTTATCAGAGGATGTGAAACAGCAGGATGGAGACACAAAAATAAATAAAATATATTGACCTGACGCACAGGATGTTGTGTAGATAAGCTGGAGTGTGAAGAAGTCAAAGAAAGAACTTCCCAAAACATCAGAAAGTTCACAAGAATTTTTGAATAAAGCATGAAACACATGAATGTGCATATATCTCAGCAGTGTAACAGTATAAAGATAACATTGTCTGTGTACACCCCTGTGTTCTTTGGCTGTTGGCCAAGAGCACTCCAGCGCACGGGAGGGGGGGAAATATCGTCCTTTTCTGTATTATTATTATTATTGCTATTGTTATTGTTATTATTATTATTACTACTATTACTATTACTATTACTCTTACTCTTACTCTTACTATTATTATTAAACTTTTAATTTTGTTTTTCACACCCTGAACAGGATCAGGACCCCCCTGAGTCCCCCATTCCAGTGAACGAGGACCCCCTGCACTGGATCCAGCCAGGCCCTTATCTAGCACCGGGACCCCCCCAAACCCTGATTCCCAGGAAGCGACTCCCCCTGAACCCCCATTCCAGGGTACCAGGACCCCATTGCATGCCCTTATTCAACACCAGGACCCCTGTTCACCCCCACATCCAGGACTGGAACCTTCCCAAAGCCTCCATTCTCAGGCACAGGGACCCCCCTGCACCCCCTTATCTGTGGGGGCCTGAATATATATATTGTTATAACAGCAATAAGAATACAACAACTGAAATGTATTAGAGAGAGTCCTATGTATTAGATAAGTGGGTCCTAGCTATTCTAAATGAGTCACAGCTGCGAAGTCCTTGGTTGGGCAGCAGCTGTGGCTCGTAAAGACAGCTAGGATAAAAGGGGTGGGTCGAGAGCCCAGGAGGAGCCCCTGAGAAGACACATGAAGAACTGTGCTGCAGAGAAAACAGCTTGTTACAGTATGGGACTTGAGAAATATGTATAACAACAAGAATGAAACACTTATCCAGCACAGGGCCCCACTGCACCCCCTTATCCATCACCGGGATCCCCCTGCTTCCCCTCATCCAGCCCGGGGATGCCCCTGCACCCCGTTATCCAGCCCCAATGCCCCCCCGCACCCCCTTTTCCTGGACCCCCCCCTCCTGCCTTCCCCAGCCCCCACCCATCACCTTCCTCAACACCGGGGGCCCGTGCACCCTCCTGGGCACAGGGACCCCCTGGAACCCCCATCGCCCTCACCCCCCATTCCTGGGCACAAGGACCCCCCGAACCTCCGTTCCTGGGCAGGGGGACCCCCCTGCAGCCCCTTATCCGGGACTGGGACCCCTCCTGGACCCCCTTCACGTGTTCTGGGACCCCCTACACCCCTGCCAGGCCCTCTCGCCCTTCCCAGACCCCAGACCCGCCCTTTTCCTTCACCTTTGCACCCCCAGATGTCCCAAATTTCCGGATCCCCCCAGTTCTCCCCTCCAGGCGCTTCCTTAAGGGGTTCCCAGGGGTTCCCAGGTGGTTCTCAGAAGGCTCCAGGGCGGTCGCAGCGGGGATCCAGAGGGTTCCAGAGGGATTCTCTGCAATTCCCCCGTCCCCGCCCCGCCCTCCATCGGTCCCTTTCGCTTCCGCGTCCCAACCTGCGAGACCGGGATCTGCCCGGTGACCGGTGACGTCACTGACAGATCGGGCTGCCATTGGCGAGCAGTAAAAAGCGGGGCCAATGGCGGGGCCGGATGCGGCTCAGGGAGCCTGGCCATGGCTGGGGCGGGGCCGCAGCCGAGCAGCGCCATGGCTCCAGCGCTGGGTCTGGGGCTGCTCTGGGGGCTCCTGGGGCTCCTGGGGGACCCGGGGGGCGCGATCAAAGGTGAGTGGGAACCCTGAAACCGGGAACTCCCTGAACTTCCATTTCCGGGCACCGGGACCCTCCTTAACTTCTATTACCGGGCGCGGGAACCCCCCATAGCCCCATTTTGGGTCCTCTATCCCCTCCCCCAAACCGGGACCCCCCTGTACCACCTCATCTGGCACCGGGACTGCCCTGAACCCCATTCCTGGGCAGGGAAACCCTCCTGAACCCCCATTCTCGGGCATCAGAATCTACTGAGCCCCCATTCCTGAGCACGGGCACCCCTTGAGCGCCCATTTCTGGGCACGGGGACCCCTCTGTGCCCCCTTCCCCAGCACCGGAACCCCGTGAAACTCCTTTTTCTGAGACCCACCTGAACCCCGAATTCTGGGAAAAGAATCACCTGAACTTCCATTCCTGGGCGGGGAAATCCCCCTGCACCCCCTTATCTGGCCCACGGACCCACCGCATCTCCCATTCCTTTGGATCAGGATCCCTTTGAACCCCGAATAACGACGGGGGAACCCCCCTGAACCCCCATTCCTGGGCACTGAGACATCCCTGAATCTCCATGTCCAGGTGCAAGGACCCCCCTGCACCCCTGACCCGGGACTGGGATCTCCCCGCACCCCCATCAGTGCTCCGGGACCCCCTGCACCCCCATTCCCGGCCATCCCGGCCTTCTCAGACCCCAGACCCGCCCTTTTCCTCGGCTTTTGCACCCCCAGATCTCTCGAATCTCTGCGTCCTCCCAGTTCTCTATTCCCGGTGCTTCCTGGAAGGGGTTTCAGGGATCCCAGAGGGTCCTAGGGGTCCCAGGGGGTCTCAGCGAGGATCCAGTGGGATCCAGATGAATTCCCTGGAATTCCCCTTTTCCCCGTCTCATTTTTCCGTCTCCCGAGCTGCGTCCCCGGGATCCGCCCGCCTCTCCCAGCCTCAGATCCCCCTTTCCGTGACCCAGGGACCCCTGAACCCCCATTCCTGCCTTTCCCAGCTCCCAGACCCCACTGCCCTCAACACCGGGGACCCCTGGACCCCCTTTGGTGGGCACCGGGGACCCCTAGATCCCCCATCCCGCCTCTCCCAGTCCCTTCATTGGACCTTGGACCCTTCCCGGCTCTCCCGGTTCCGCTTCCCGACCCTTGGACGCTCCCAGACCCCCCAATCTCTGCGTCCCACCATGTGGGATCTCAGCCTCTCTGGGCTGAGGGGCAGAGTGACCAAGACCACCCCTGGGGGGCTCGGGAGTCCTGGAATGTTGCCAGAAATGTCTGGTGGCTGGACTTTGATCCCACATGGGAGATGACATCAGTATGAGGATAGGAGGATTTCACTGGGGTGAATGGTGAAGGGATAAGTTAATTGGAGTGTGAGATAAAGGGTTTAAGATTTCTGTACAGGGGGGTCTAGAGAAGTAAGATGGAGGAATTGGGGCGTGCCCTTCTCCTTCTTCTTCTTCCTCTAGGCCTCCATCTTCTGTGGTGATGTTGGCACTCTGGGATTGGACCTTACTAGAGGAACACTGGTTAATAAGGGTAGAGGGTATTGGAGAAAAATGATAAATATTGTACACGTAACTCCAAGTATAAAGATAGACGACCGCCCCAGGGGCTCTCAGTGTGTGCCCATGGCTGACTGCTGAGCAGAACTCTGTCAGGCCCAGAGAAAATCTTTTAGATAAGCATTTAATAAACACCGAGACCGAGAACAAATCTGAAGTCCCTTCTCGTCCTTTGGAGTGCAGGCGGCCCAAGGCCATCTTCGGGCTTTTCCAGACCATCTAAACAGCCCAAAATCCGGCAAGTGGCGTCCGCTGCGTGGGCTATCTCCCACCAAACCTTTCGGGGGGGGGAAAAGCCCTGAAGAGCTGAAGAGCCAAGAGGACAGCACTGATAACTCCTGAGGAGAGAAGCCTGAAGAAAGAAAGAAGAAAAAAAAAAAAAAAAACCGGCCAGGAGAATCTGCAAAAATCAGCAGTCACTGAGAATTCCATCTCTCAGCTTCTGCCGAAGACAGTTCGTAGCAGAGCGACCTGGACTGGGACCAGAAAGGCGCCTCTGGATCCATCTCTCATGACCTGCTGGACGGAGACTGAGGGCTTTCAGACCACTCTGACGACAGATTCGGTAAGAAGGCCAAAATAAGATCAACGAAGTCATAGAAGACATGGGGCCACTTCAGTTGGGACTTCCATCTGTCTCAATGATTCCCAGAGATTGGCAGCTTGTGGTCATTGACCTCAAGGATTGTTTTTTCAGTATCCCACTCCATCCAGATGATGCTCCGAGATTTGCCTTTTCAGTTCCGAGTATCAACAGGGAAACGCCTCTGCAGCGGCACCATTGGGTTGTTCTTCCACAAGGTCTAAAAAATTCCCCGACGATCTGTCAATGGTACGTGGCACGAGCTTTGGCAACAGCACGAAAGAAATTTCCGAAGGCAAAGATCATTCATTACATGGATGATTTGCTCATTGCAGCATCAACACGACAGGAGCTGCAAGAAGCTCGTGACTGTGTGATCGCAGAGGTGCAAAAGGCAGGTCTGGAAATCAGCATTTCAAAGATTCAAGAGGTTGCACCTTGGAAATATCTAGGGTGGAAAATTTCAGAGAAAACAATAAAGCCTCAAAAAGTGGAGATCAGCACAAAGGTCAACAATTTGCATGATTTGCAACAGCTTTTGGGAGAAATCAACTGGATGAGACCAGTTTTGGGAATCACAAACAGCGACATTCCAGCGCTGCTTGATCTCTTGAGAGGAGACACAGACATTCGTTCTCCCAGGACACTCACGCCAGAAGCGAGAAAAGAGTTGGAGAAAATCACGAACGCGATACAGAAAAGGCAGGCACATCGATTTGTTCCATCGTTGCCTTTTCAGTTGGCAGTGCTGGGGAAGAAAACACAGTTCCATGGTTTGATCTTCCAATGGGATGAATCACAAAAGGACTCTTTGATAATCATAGAGTGGATTTTCCTACCGCACAGGCCCGCGAAAATGATTCTCACAGATTTGGAGATGGCAGCACAAATCATCATAAAGGCGAGAACGAGGCTGCTGACAATGGCAGGAAGAGAATTCTCAGTCATCAGATTACCTCTGAAACGAGACTACTTCGAGTGGGCAATGCAACAATCGAAAGACCTGTTAATCGCGTTGTTAGCTTTCCCAGGAGCTTGCACAATCCACTTTCCACAGCATAGAATACTGCAATCGCAAATATGCTATAGAGCAAAACCACGAATAAGTGAAGAACCTTTGGATGGGATCACAGTGTTCACGGATGGCTCAGGGAAGACACACAAGTCAGTGATCACTTGGAGAGACTCAACGACAGGGGATTGGGAATCAGACATGAGGATGGTTCAGGGCTCTCCACAAATTGTGGAGTTGGCAGCCGTTGTCCGAGCATTTCAGTTGTTCAAACAGCCTCTCAATCTGGTGACAGATTCCGCATATGTTGCGGGTGTGGTCAAGAGATTGGAGGGTTCGCTCTTGAAAGAAGTCAGTAATGAGGTTTTATACTCATACCTGACAAGCTTGAAAACACTGCTAGAGAGCAGGGAAAGAGAGTATTTTATCACACACATTAGAGCGCACACAACACTTCCGGGGTTTTTAGCGGAAGGGAATGCTCGGGCGGACAGGTTGACAATGCCCATTTTGCAAACACTGCCAGACATTTTTGAGCAGGCAAGGTTAAGTCATGCGTTCTTTCATCAGAATGCGCAAGCGCTAATGGAGTCCTTTCGTCTCACAATGAGTCAGGCGAGGGAGATCATTAGTGCTTGTCCAGACTGTCAGCTTGTGCAGCCACCTTCTTCTACCGGGGCCATCAATCCGCGGGGGCTGCAAAGTCTTCAGTTGTGGCAAGCTGATGTCACAAAATACCCATCTTTTGGGAGGCTCAAAAATGTTCATGTTTCTGTAGATACATTCTCAGGTGCAGTCTTTGCTTCAGCACATGCTGGGGAAACAGCAGACCATGCTTGCCGACATTTTCTGCAGGCATTTGCAGCATTAGGTGTGCCTCAGGAGATAAAAACAGATAATGGTCCAACGTATACAGGCAGGGTGCTTGACAGATTCCTGAAAAGATGGGGTGTCAGACACACGTTTGGTATTCCGCATTCACCCACAGGTCAGGCGATCATTGAGAGAACACATCACACCCTAAAATCCCTTCTGGACAAATAGAGAAGGGGTGAGCCAGAGGCAACACCTCACATGAAATTAAATAAGGCACTGTATGTGCTGAATTTCCTAAATAGCTCATCCTCGGAACCTGATCCACCGATCGTGAGACATTTTCTAAACAACACACAGGCAAAGCTAAAGGAAAATCCTTTAGTTTTGATCAGAAACCCAGAGACAGGACAAATAGAGGGTCCTTTCAAACTAATCACTTGGGGCAAGGGTTTCGCTTGTATTTCCACAGATCGAGGTCTGAAGTGGGTGTCGGCGCGGCACGTGAAGCCATTCCGGACGCGAGAACACGAGAACGCTGATCCAAGAAACAAAGAGACGAGTACTCAGACAGAAGTCGAGACTCAGACTGCGAAAAACGACCCGGAAGAGAGATAAAAAGAAACTAAGGACTTTGGGGGGTTTTCACATAAAAGCGAAGTAATGGGTTTCATGATGCTTATGTGCATCGTTCTTTCATTCATTGCAGTAAGCAGTGGGGGAGATTTACCTGTTAGTCAACCAAGGCAAAATGTATGGGAGGCTTTAGCTCGGGCAGCGAATTTAGATAGTATCTGCCTGACACATTCAAGACCAGGTAAACCGTTTTCAGCATGCATGGTTGGATTGCCAGTGGACGAATGGCCAGTTCCAGGGCACTCCGCAATTAACATTTCGCAGGTCATTAAAAATCCTATAAAAGAGTGGTGTGCTTGGACACACCTGCTTCCTGTGGCTTCTACAGAACCTCAGGAATTGGAGATTTTTGGGTCCATGACAATGAGACTCTGCATGCAGTTTGAAGCTCCAAAAGTCACAAAGGCGAAAACTATCGATTTAACTCCCACTCATGAATTTTATAAGAATGCGTCAGCTTGGTGTAAATATACAAAGAGAACCACCAAAGGATCGATCCAAGTCCCGGTGCAACTGCCGCGGGGTCTGTTCTTAATTTGCGGGGACAGAATTTGGCACGGCATTCCTGCTAATGCCACGGGAGGTCCATGCAGCATTGGGGAAATTTCAATGCTATCGCCTGATTTGAACATGTTAAGAGAGGAAAGGCACAGAGAAAAAAGATCAATACAACAATATGCGGCAAATTGCAATGATGAAATGTTTTCTTGGGACAAGAAATGAGTATTGCTACAGCAATCTTCTCACCTCAGACAGCATCAGGGGTGGCCTTGACACAGATCGACCGCATGGGTTGTTGGTTGAGCAAACATGCGTGGTCTGTGTCTGTCACATTGGATGACATGTTAAAAGACATCAGTAGTGTGAGACAGGCGACTCTTCAAAACAGAGCGGCAATCGATTATCTATTGCTCGCTCATGGACATGGGTGTGAAGAGTTCGAAGGGATGTGCTGCATGAATCTCTCAGATCATTCAAAGTCAATTCATGAAAATATCAAAAATATAAAGGACAGCATAAATAAGCTTGGCGAGATCACAGGATCATGGATCGATCAACTGGCAGAATTCTTTGACATCTCTCCCATTTGGAGAGGAATCTTAAAGATAGGGTTCTATGTTTTAATAGTTCTCCTAGTCCTCATACTTGTTGTCCCATGCATATTTGCATGTTTAAAACGTGCGATGAATCGGATGGCGAAAAAGATCTTTTTGGTGCAAACAGAAGGGGGAGATGTGGGATCTCAGCCTCTCAGGGCTGAGGGGCAGAGTGACCAAGACCACCCCTGGGGGGCTCGGGAGTCCTGGAATGTTGCCAGAAATGTCTGGTGGCTGGACTTTGATCCCACACGGGAGATGACATCAGTATGAGGATAGGAGGATTTCACTGGGGTGAATGGTGAAGGGATAAGTTAATTGGAGTGTGAGATAAAGGGTTTAAGATTTCTGTACAGGGGGGTCTAGAGAAGTAAGATGGAGGAATTGGGGCGTGCCCTTCTCCTTCTTCTTCTTCCTCTAGGCCTCCATCTTCTGTGGTGATGTTGGCACTCTGGGATTGGACCTTACTAGAGGAACACTGGTTAATAAGGGTAGAGGGTATTGGAGAAAAATGATAAATATTGTACACGTAACTCCAAGTATAAAGATAGACGACCGCCCCAGGGGCTCTCAGTGTGTGCCCATGGCTGACTGCTGAGCAGAACTCTGTCAGGCCCAGAGAAAATCTTTTAGATAAGCATTTAATAAACACCGAGACCGAGAAAAGATCTGAAGTCCCTTCTCGTTCTTTGGAGCGCGGGCGGCCCAAGGCCATCTTCGGGCTTTTCCAGACCATCTAAACAGCCCAAAATCCAGCACCCCCATTTCTTCACCCGTGTGTCCTGCTGGCGGGGGGTTCCTTGGGGTCCTGAATTTTCACTTCTGGGCACTGGGACCCCCCTGCACTCCCTTATCCAGTACCAATCCCCCTCTGCACCCCCTTTCTCATCCATCCTGCCTTCCCCAGTCCCCCCTTTTCCTTGACCCTGAGACCCCCTGGACACCCATTCCTGCTTTTCTCAGCTCCCAACTCCCCTTTCCTCTGCATCAAGGATCCCCAAGACTCCTATTCCCAGGTCCTCCCACCTTTTGACCCCTCATTCCTTGGGACTGGGGATCCCTGGACCCCCTTTCCTGGGCACAGGGATCCCCTGGAACCCCCATCCCACTCTCCCAGTCCCTGCACCACCCCCTCCCCCTTCTGAGCTCCCATTCCTGGACACCAGGACCCCCTGCAGGCCCTTTCCTGTCCATCCCACCTCTCCCACCCTGCACACCCTTTCCTTGGCCCCAGGATCCTCAAACCCATTCCCAGCTCTCCCAGTTCCCCTTTTCATTGATCCATGATCCCCTCAACCCCCCAAATCTCCGTGTCCCCCCAGTTCTCCACTCCCTGCGTTACCTGCACGTGGCGGTGTCAGAGCCCAGCCCAGGGATCCCCCAGTACATGCAAATGGGGTTCATGGATGGGATCCCCTTTGTGCGCTACGACAGCGAGCAGGGCCGGCTGGAGCCGCTGACGCTGTGGATGAAGGATGGAGTCGAGCCAGGATTTTGGGAGTGGCAGACCCGGAACAGTATGAGGAACCAGCACATGGATGCCAAGAACCTGGAGACACTGCAGGAGCGATACAACCAGAGCGGGGGTGAGTGGGGGGATCTGTGGGGGTGGGATGGGACTGGGGGGATGGGATGGGATCTATAGGTGTCGGATGTGGATTCATGGGGTTCAAGTGGTTGAAATGGGGATCCATTAGGCTAGGATTGGATATCATGTGATCCATGGATTGGGATGTGAATCCATGGGGCTGGGATGGGATCTGTGGGGCTGGGATTGGATCCATGCAGCTGGGATGGGAACTGTGGGGCTGGGATAGAAACTGTAGGGCTGAGATGGGGACCCATGGGGCTGGGATGGGATCTGTGGGGCTAGGATAGGAATTGTAGGGCTGGAATGTGCATGCATGGGGCTGGGATGGGATCTGTAGGGTTGAAATGGGAACTGTAGGGCTGGGGTGAGCATCCATAGGGCTGGGATCGGATCTATAGGTTACGGATGTGGATTCACAGAGCTCCAAGTGGCTGAAATGGGGATCCATTAGGCTGGGATGGGATATCTTGTGATCCATGGGGCTGGGATGTGCATCCATGGGGCTGGGATGGGATCTGTGAAGCTGGGATGGGACCTGTGGGCTTGGGTTGGAATCTGTGGAGTTAGGATTTGCATCCATGGGGCTCCAAGGAGCTGGGATGAGGCTCTGTGGGTCTCCATCAGACTCTGGGGCTCCATGGGGCTGGAATGGGGCTCTGTGGGGCTGGGACACAATTCCATGGGTCTCTGTGGGTACAATCCCTCCAGGTCTCCACACAAGGTTGCGAGTTTCCGGCTGTGACCTCCTGTCCAATGGGAGCATCCGTGGATCCCACCGGAATGCCTACAATGGGCGGGATTTAATCTCCTTTGACCTGGAGTCCAGGAGATTTGTGGCGGCCGACAGCGTTGGTGAGATCATCAGGAGGCGCTGGGAGCAGGATGGGACCGTGGCTGAGTATTGGATGAATTACTTGAAGCACGAATGCCCCGAATGGCTCCAGAAATACATCAAATACGGGCAGAAGGAGCTGGAGCGCAAAGGTGGGAGCAGAATTCCTGTGGGGATTTGGGATTTGGGGATAGGGGACTTGGGAACACAGTAATTCCTGTGGGAATTCTATGAATAGATCTCATCTCCAGTGAGAATTCCATGGGTAGATCTCACTCTCATGCCATTCCTGTGGGAATTCCATAGGTAGAACTCACCCCAGTCCCACTCCCATGGCATTCCAATGATGTCTATCACCATTATCCCGTTCCAGAGCCCCCTGATGTCCATGTGTCTGGAAAAGAGGAACACAGGACGCTGATCCTGTCCTGCCACGCGTATGGATTCTACCCTAAAACCATCGCAGTCAGCTGGATGAAGGGGGGTGAAACCTTGGATCAGGAGACGGAGTGGGGCGGGATCGTTCCCAACAGCGACGGCACCTTCCACACCTGGGCCAGGATCGAGGCGCTGCCGGAGGAGCGGGAGCAGTACCGGTGCAGGGTGGAGCATCCCAGAATGCCGGAGCCCGGGATCTTCACTTGGGGTGAGGCTGGGAATGTGGGGATTGGGAATTTGGAATTCCCAAATGGGGATTCCCCTTCCCCTTCTCACTATCCCGCGTTTCCCAGAGCCGACATCTGGCGGGAATCTCACCATGGTGGTCACTGTATCCATCATCACTGCCATCCTCATCCTCATTGTCCTCATCGGATTCGGCGTCTGGAAGCTCCAATCTGGTAACACACGGGATGGGGGTCGGGAAGGGACACGGATCCACCCGGCACTGTTCTGGGAATCCTGTGCCACCAACGCTGATCCCACTTTGTTTCCACAGGGAGGAGAGACAGGAATGGATACAACCCGGCAGCTGGTGAGTTCCAGTGGTGGATCCAGCTCTAGATCCCCTCTGTGCAGATCCCAGGATGGATCCTGGGGTTAATCCCAGTGTGTGATCTGTGCTGGAATCTCATGGATCTTCTCTTTCTGCAGGAAGGGACATGGGAACCAACAGCTTCAGCACAGGTATGGAGCAGGATCAGGGTGAGATTCCAAAGGGGGATTGGGGCAGGATGGATGGACTGGGATCAGGGAGGGATTCTGGATCAGGGCAGGGGTCCATGCAGAGTGAGATTAGGGGGAATTGTAGAGTGGGACTGGGGCTGGATTCTGGAGCAGGATTAGGTGGGATGGATGGAGCAGGATCGGTCCAGGATGGATAGCGTGAGATCAGGGAAGGATTCCAGTTCTGAATTGGGTGGGATGGATGGAGCAGGATTGTGGCAGGATTCGGGTAGTATCACGTGGGATCCTGGAGTAGCTCCTGCTCTCCATGGACTCCAGCCAGGTCTACCCTGTGGAATGGGGACAGGGATAGGGTGACACCATGACCTTCTCTCATCCTGGCAGGAATCACTGCCTGAGTGATCCATGGAGCTGGATCTGGCCCCTTCCCTCTTCCCAGGAAAGCTGAGAGCTGCCACCAGAGCTGATCCTGCTGCTCCCACCCACCCCACAGGTCTTTCTAACGGATTCATTTCCAGTTTTCCATTTCCCAGTGTTTTAAAGGCAAGAACCACAAACATTTACAATGCTTTAGTTCTGGTGTGAAATTATCCTGCTTTGGGCAATAAATCTACTTGTGGCAATAAATCCTGCTTTGGGCAATGTCCTGGATTGTCACGCAAATTGTATTCTATTTACCATCTGTATGGCAGTTGTTTTCTGTTAAGTAGGCAATTTTCCTTATCTCTTCTACAACCGGGGAGATATCTGTTGATAACAGGCTATTGAATGTCACTGCCTGACTGGTAAGAACTACAGCATCCCAGTGTGAGATGCTCCGCCCAGAGGGGCGAGCCAAACATTCCTACCTGGATATAATCTTGAGGTTCTGGACCACCAGCATGGCTTTCTCCACTGCATCTCCAGAGGAACAGCAGCTGCCTCTCCTTCCACTGGATCTTAGAGGAAGACTGCACCTTTCTAGAGGATCCCTGCTCCAACAGAACCACACCTGACGCTCCAGGAGGACTACAGCCACATTTCCAATGGGACTGCTACCAACAACCTGGCCAACAGGGTGTCAGGTTGTGTTCTGACTCTGTCAGTGTTGTTCTAGTGCACTGCATTGTTTATTTTATCTTTTTATTTTCTTGCCTAGTAAAGAACTGTTATTTCCTGCTCCCATATTTTTGCCTGAGGGTCTCTTAATTCCAAATTTATAGCAATTTGGAGGGGTGGGGAAGGTTTACATTCTCCGTTTCAGGGGAGGCTCCTGCCTTCCTTAGCAGACTCCTGTCTTTCCAAACCAAGACAGATTTTGGCGCCCAACGTGAAGCTCGAGGGCATAGAAACAAAAAGGGGATAACAGTTCTTGAGTAATCTAATTTTGTGTGCTGATATAGAAACCTTGTTAGGTGTCACCATGTGGTCCAGCTTGCCCTGGTTTGGGGGGCATGTGACCATGGCTGTATTTGTCCCATTCACACGCCCTCATATAAACATGGGTCCTATAACCAAGGTTGTCTGGTTTGCTTTACAGGTTAATAAAGTGAGGAATTCATGGATTTTTAACTTCCACTGGAAGGCAAGCACGTGGATTCAGAGCTATCACACCCTTACTGTATGGGCCCCTCAATGCCTTGCCCCATGACTCAGAGGTAACTCCCTCCAGGAGCCATTTCTGTTTGATGGGCAATCAAGGACCAATCATGACTCAGAACGGTATCAGCTCATTGGGAGATGCTCCACCCAGGGGGGAGGAGCTCAGCATCCCCACCTGGATATAATCTGGGTTTTGGGACAGAACAGGCAGCCCTTACCCACTGGTTTCCAGAGGACAAGAGCTGCCAGATCTTTTCTGCAGAATCACCACTTCAACAAGACCATTTCATCTGGACTGCCACCACCACCCTAACTAGCAGGGTGTCCGGTTTTATTCTGACTCTGTCAGTGGTTTCATTTTGTACTATTGCATGTATTTTTGGGTTTTTTCCCTTTTCCTAATAAATTGTATTTCTGACTTGGAGTCTCTCACTGGTTTTGCTTTCAAACCAGAACATAATTTTGGCACCCAAAGTGGGGCAGCAAGGTTTTTTCTCAAGAACCTGGTTCCACTTGGTGGGTAATGCAGAAGGATGGGGAAACCTCTTGTATACCACCAGGAGACCTATATTTAAGTGAGAACTGTGTATAAAGTTTCATTTTACATTATAGATATGTATAACTGTAACAGAGTATTGTTTTGGGTATAGATGGCAATAGGATAAGGGGTGGATTATGTCCTAGGTTAAAACATAAAGATTTATTCTATTCCCATCCTCAAGAGCTGTTCAGACCAGCAGAGGCATTGTTTTTTCCTTATCTCCTGTTAATGGGCCCCTCAATGTCTTGCCCCATGACTCAGAGGTAACTCCCTCCAGGAGCCATTTCTGTTTGATGGGCAATCAAGGACCAATCATGACTCAGAACGGTATCAGCCCATTGGGAGATGCTCCACCCAGGGGGGAGGAGCTCAGCATCCCTACCTGGATACAACCTGGGCTTTGGGACAGAACAGGCAGCCCTTACCCACTGGTTTCCAGAGGACAAGAGCTGCCAGATCTTTTCTACAGGATCACCACTTCAACAAGACCGTTTCATCTGAACTGTTACCACTGCCCTAACCAGCAGGGTGTCAGGATATATTCTGACTCTGTCAGTAGTTTTATTTTTTATTATTGCATGTCTTTTGGAGTTTTTTTCCCTTTTCCTAATAAATTGTATTTCTGACTTGGAGTCTCTCACTGCTTTTGCTTTCAAACCAGAACATAATTTTGGCGCCCAAGGTAGGGCACCAATGTTTTTGCTCAAGGACCTGGTTACTCTGGGTGGGTAATGCAGAAGGACGGGGAAACCCCTTGTGTACCACAAAGAGACCTAATTTTAAGTGAGATCTGTGTGTAAGGTTTCATTCTGTATTTTATATATATCAATATATCTATACATCTATATATCTTTTATATACATTATTATGTGCATTATACATTTATATATCTTTTTCTTTTGTGTTTCATGTATTTTGGGGGTTTTCCCCTTTTGTAAAAACTCTTATTTCTGACTTGGAGTCTCTCACTGGTTTTGCTTTCAAACCAGAACAACTGGCCACTGGTGATGGTTGTTTGGCTTGATTGACCAATTGGATCCGCGTGTGTGTTGTGACTGTCAGGCAAGGGCCATGGGTTGTTCTTAGTGGTAAAGGATGGTATAACAAAGGGATTGGACAGCCTGCTGCAATCATGGAGTCAATGCTCATTATTCCCCGCTGGGGACTGCTGCTACAACAGGGACTGATGATTTTTCTTTCAGCACTGGACAGTCCTTTTTCCAATGCCCCCATTTCTTACAGGATGCACTCTGAGCCTTCTCCACAGGGGAAGCTTTCTTGGGTGACTTTTCCCGAGTTGCCTTCTTGCTGGGCTGGGATTAACTCTTTCAGTTGGGCCCCTGTCTCAAAACACCTTCCAGGCCACCTCCAGCAGTTTATCCATGTCTTCAACTCCCTTTATCTTTCCTTATGTCTTTTGAAGCCTGACCCACACAAAACAAAACCAGGTGTGCTTTACCATCAACTGATTCAGGATCTAGATCAGTATATTTGATGGCAGATCTCTTCACCTGTTCAAAAATCAGTGGGTGATTCATCATAATTTTGCCTCACTGGGTAAAACTTTGACTAATTTACAGCTTTAGAGACCCCATGTTTTAACCCACATTCCATGAGACTTTGATATCATTTTAATTTTGCCACCTGCTTGGGTGTATTTGCATCCCACCCAGGGTTTCCAAGGGGAAATATCTCAGTGAAAGCGCCTTGAAACAGCTCCCTGGCTGTGCTCCCCTCCAGGAACATTGAGGTGGATTTATTGACCACTCGTCCCTCAGTGGGGTCTGTGGTATTTGCTGGGTCCCCAGGATGAACTAGGAACTGAGAATCTGACTCCATGTTCTTAGAAGGTTAATTTATTATTTTATGCTATTATTTTATATTACAGAATGCTATACTAAAACTCTACTAAAGAATAGAGAAAGGATACAGACAGAAGGCTTAACAAGAATGAATAATAAAAACTTGTGACTCCTTCCAGAGTCCCGACAGAGTTGGATGGTGATTGGTCATTAAGTAAAAACAATTCACATGTTGCATAAACAATCTCCAACCACATCCCAAAGCAGCAAAGCACAGGAGTAGCAAATCAGATAATTATTTTCTTTTTTTCTCTGAGGCTTCTCGCCTTCCCAGGAGAAGAATCCTGGGCAAAGAGGATTTTTTCAGAAAATATGGCAGTGACAATGGTCAAGTGATGTGTCTGACACAGACTTCAGATCAGCCCGGTGTGATTCATACAGAGGGCATTTATATATTTATTCATTCATTCATTTATTTATTCAATTATTCATTTATTTATTTAATTATTAATAGGCTGTATGGTGCACACATGAACTAAGAGATTATATTGCACCAACCAGCAGCTACAATGAATCAACGATAATCGATATTGGTATCAAACACTGTATCAAATTGCTGGTGATCAATAACAATGTGTAAAAGGCAATACAAGAGTGCAAAAGGCAATTATTAAATTGGCATTTATGACCCGGCTGTGCTGCAGGCACAGTGGAAAGCTGGAAGCTGCTGAGGGGACCCATTCACCCCTGTCCCCTGTCCCTGACTGTCCCCAGAGTGTCCCTGAGTGTCCCCAGAGTGTCCCCAGTGATGTCACCCCAGGAATTCCCATCAGGATTTGGGACAGTATCATTGAAAATTCCTAGAAAATTCCTCTGCTCCCCAAATCTGTCTCAAATACTGCACAGGGAGGGCACAGGTGACAGCAGTGATGTCCCTGATGATGTCAGTGCTCCCATGTGAAACTTTCCTGCAGCAGCCTCGGGATGTCCTCGATGGCTTTTTGGCACTGCTTGGCCACTGTGCAGCTGCCAGGGCCACCGGGGCCACCACAACCATCATAGGGACTCAAGAGGATGTTGTCGATGACCCCAGGTGTCCTCAGCAGGTGATCCTTGGCCAGGCGGGTGCTGGCCCCCCACAGCCACTCAAACTTGGCCACTTTGGCTACCAAGGCCTGGAGGACATCAGGGGACACCTCGTTTGTCCCCTTCAGGATGGGCTCGATGTCCCTGAGCCGCCACTCCATGTTCCAGTAGAACAAGGTGGCTCTGTCACACGTGGCCACCAAGCGCTGCAGCAGCCCCAGGGCCACCAGTGCCCAATGTCCCCTCCTGGTGGCCACCACAGCCTCTCCCATGGCCTCATTGGTGGCTGCCGCCACCTGGGCATTGTATGTAGCCATTTCCCCGGCCACTTCCTCCTTGTCCAGGGCCACCATCAGCTGCTGGTTCGCGATTACCTTCCTGTGGTTGTCACGGAGCTTGGTGGCCTCCCTGGACATCCAGTCCCAGCGGTCCACGAGCCTGGCCACCAACTCTTGCCAGGCCTTGGCCGCGGCTCTCCCATTGGCCCAGGTGGTCCCAGGGGTGGCCCCGAGGGTGGCCAGGGCCCGGCCCAGGGAGGCGACACCAGGGTGGCCCAGGGAGGCGACATTGCTGT